TAATAAAATCAAGAACTTGTTCCTCACTGCCATCATCACCGTCGTCTTCTTCACTGTCTTCGTGCAGGTGGGAATAACACGAGTACTTGGGATTTAGGTGTATGACAAAAACAACATGGCAAAGAAAACGGCTTGCATGTGAGGCTGGACATAAAAAAAAGAGACGTGTATCAGTTGTCTCTTTTATGTTTAATGTTTTTCCCGCACACATTTTTTCCTCTTGACTGGCCTCTAGTTGTAAGTTGCTGTGGCTTCCACCCGGCTGTATCAACATCAGTAATTATAGTAATCAGTATTTTTATTGGGTATTGTTACGTGAGTGTGTTTATATGTCTAAAATAAATGTGCAGTATGTTTTTTTAAAACTTAATTTCTCTTTTTTTCTTCAGGGGATGACGATCAGGCCCCTGGTGGAGCTCCTAGCTGTGAAGAAAAAGAAAGAGAGCAAAGAATCAATTAATGAGGAGATCCACACACAGGTGACAATTTCATTCACTTCATGTAAAAGAAAACACATCAGTCCTTGTTAATATATGAGAGAGATGGGGCTACAGATCAAACAGTGTATAAGATGTATAAATAACACCCTCTGTAAACTAATTTTGCCATCAGTTCCTGGATCATCTCCTCACAGGAATTGAAGACATCTGTGGTCATTATGGGCATCATCACTGGAAGGACAAGTATGTATTTTCTTTCTTAATGTATCCTCTCTGTCACCTCCATCTTTGTAGTTCAGAAGAAGCCCTCAAGTTGTTATGCAGCCATGTGAAAAAGAAATGTTTCACTGGTCTTTGTGCAGTCCCGTAAAAAACATGAAGATGACTCAGTAGATTGTAGATCAACAAGTAACTCTAACTGCCAAAACCTCTGCTTTGATAGAAGTGCTCAAACTTCAAGCACATCTGATTAAACAGTAAGGGTGCACTCAGTTTTTCAAAGGGCTGCAAAGTCATATTACTGTATCCCCCTTTTATAAAACAGAAAAAATAACTTTCTCTTCTGTATACAGGCTGAATCGCTTCAATAAGACCTATGTGAAGAGATGGCTGATCGCAGGAGAACGCTCCACCGAGCCTCAGCTCATCTCCTTCTACAATAAGATGGAGCTGAAACAGGCGATGATGATGGTGGAGAGCGGGAGCGCCGCCAAGCTGCCCACGATTGTGTCGACCGTCTCCATCCGGTAAATGTCAGAAGC